TTTCAGAACTGTAACGTTATAGAACTCATTTTGAGCTAACGAATCTCAGTGAACCTTAGCTAGCTCAAAAGGAGTTGACCGCGCAGCTAGCTAATTTCGGAGAGAACTTAGTCGAATTTTGTATCGTTTTATAGCTCTTCTATAGTTCTATTTCACTCTCCCCCACCAAAAGAAAATATTGAGTTTCAAAAAAAAAAATGAAGCACTCGGTTTGTTTAGTGTATGCTGAAATTTTCAAACAAATCTGAAAATTTTAAAGTAGTTTTGTAGGTTCCCCATTTTTTGGTATTTTGTAGCTTCCTTCTGAAAACTGATATCAAAAACTTCTCCTCGTCATTTAATTATTTGTCTCCGGCAACACATTTTTCAACTGATAACATTTTTTTTCATATATAATTTATCAAAAAATCAAACTAAACATTTTCTGAAATAATTAATTTCAGCATGTCTGCTCAGCGAGGTGCTCTCGGCTCCAGCCGCGGAGAAGCGCATCCGTCGTAACATGATTCGCGGACGACCACGTGGCGGTATGAAGAAGACACCACCGGTAGGTACAGTAATCCTCAAGGGCAATTGTAGAGCTTCAAAATGATACCAAACTCAACTATGTTCTTCATCGATTTTAGAAAATTTTTGGTTACCATACCATGCTCACTAATAAACGCCTACCTTAACTTTGAGCTCAAATATCTCGGCTCCTGTAGAAGATATCAAAATTTTGTCAACTGATAAATTGCTCAGCAGTACATGACCTATATTTTATCAGTTGACAAGACATTAATAACTCTTACAGGAGCAGAGATAATTGAGCTCAAAGTGCACTTGCACTTTGATTGTTTTGGTGGGCTTCTATCAGTGGAAGTACGGTATCCTCATTTCGTGGTGGGACCCAAAATTCTGGTTTTGAGATAAATGTATAAATACTTCAATTTTTGTATCCCTACCAGTGGTAGACATCCGATGCTAACCTAAGCTCAGAAACGTTCAAAAGTTCTTGAAGACTATTCCTCCCTGTCCATCTGTACCTCCCCATTTCCAGATGTCCTCCGTCGAACATCTCATCAACAAGGACACCGTCGTCTCCTCGACCTTCACCCAAACCCTCGACCACTTCGATTCCTCCAACACGAAGACGTTCCAACAGAGATATTACCATAACAACCAATGGTACAAGGACGGTGGACCAGCATTCTTGATGCTCGGAGGAGAGGGACCGGAATCCAGCTACTGGGTTTCTTATCGTGAGTTTTTGTTGTGTTGGATCCAAAACAGTCATCAAGGTTTCAGCTGGACTCGAGATCACCAACTTGGCCGCTAAGCAAGGAGCCTGGGTGTTCGATATTGAGCACAGATTCTATGGAGAGACCAAGCCAACTAGGTAAGGAGCCTTCCGATCTTCTAGAATGTTCAAAAACCCATTTCCAGCGACATGTCCGTCCCCAACCTCAAATACCTTTCATCTGCTCAAGCCATCGAAGACGCCGCCACCTTCATCAAGGCAATGACTCTCAAGTATCCACAACTCAAGAACGCCAAATGGGTGACATTCGGAGGATCGTACTCCGGAGCCTTGGCTGCCTGGACCCGCGCCAAGCATCCAGAACTTGTCTACGCCGCCGTTGGATCCAGTGGACCAGTTCAGGCTGAGGTTGACTTCAAGGGTGAGCTATCTTTAACTGACGCTTACCCTAAACCCTTTGATCAGACCGTCCACTTTCAGCCAATTTATCTCGCTTCCTGTAAGAGGTATTAAAAACCGATCAACTGATAAAATGGTTATTATATTATCAGAAACATTTTGTCAGTTGACAACTTTTTGATATCATTTACAGGAAGCGAGATAAACAGGCTCAAAGCTTACAGTCATTTAGCGCCGCCGCTCATGCTTCTCTGGCCTTGAGCCCTTAACTTTAAACCTATTTATCTCAGTTCCTGTGAAAGGTATCAAAAAGCGGTCAACTAACAAAATGTTCCTGATAATATGATCAACGTTTTATCAGTTGACCACTTTTTGATATCTCTTACAGAAACCGAGATAAATGAGCTCAAAGTTGTCAGGTTGCGCGCTCCAGCCGGCGGGCACAGAGAAGCTTGGATCTAAATCACTGTTAATTTCGAGCTCAATTATCTCGGTTCCTGTACAAAATATCAAAAAGTGGTCAACTGATAAATTGTTCATCATATTATTAGGAACATTAACCCTTTTTTGATATCTTTCACAGGAACCGAGATAAGTGGACTTTAATTAGGAGGCATTGAATAAGAGTGACTACGGTACACTGGAGTTCCGGATTCTAATCCTAGGCTTCTGAGCTTAGGATCCTAAAATTTCTTAGGCCTAGAATTCTGGATTTCAGATCCTAGCCAGCATGAAACTCTAGTATCTTGACTTTCTAGATCTTGGGGGATTTCGGATCTTGAAGAGTTTCAAACATTTGAAATCCTGGGAATCCTGGAATTCCGGGACCTGGAACTCTAAAGCCTAGGATTTCAAAGCTTGAAGATGTTCAAGAATCCTGGATCCTAGATCTTGAAAATCTTGAGAGGCCACTTCGGAAATTAGTAACAGCAGAATTTTCTAGATCCTCTACTACCGCATACTTCAAAGTTTGCTTTGTAAATCGTTGCAAATTCCAGAGTACCTCGAAGTGGTTCAAAACTCGATCACCCGCAACTCCACCGCCTGCGCCGCTAGCGTCACCGCCGGATTCAACCTGGTTGCTCAGCTTTTGCAAACCACCGATGGTCGTAAGCAATTGAAGACTGCCTTCCACACCTGCCAAGACATCCAACTCGACGACAAGAACCTCAAGTACTTCTGGGAGACCGTCTACTCGCCATACATGGAAATCGTTCAGTACTCTGGCGACGCCGCTGGAGCTTTTGCCACCCAACTCACAATCTCCAACGCCATCTGCAAGTACCATCTGAATGCCAAGACTGACACCTTGACCAAGATGAAACAAGTCAACGACTACTTCAACCTGGTTCAGGAGTACTATGGATGCAATGATATCAACTACCAAGCATTCATCGACTTCATGGCTGACACTAGCTTCGGTTACGCTCAATCCGACCGCGCCTGGGTCTGGCAGACATGCACCGAATTCGGATACTATCAATCCACGTCATCAGCCACCGCTGGTCCATGGTTCGGTGGAAATGCCAATCTTCCTGCTCAATATTATATTGACGAGTGTACTGCCATCTATGGAGGAGCTTATAACAGTCAGGAGGTGCAGACAGCTGTGGACTACACTAATCAGTATTACGGTGGAAGAGATGGTCTGACGACGTCTCGTATCTTGTTGCCAAATGGAGATATCGATCCATGGCATGCACTTGGAAAGTTGACAAGCTCCACGGCTGATATTGTGCCAGTTGTTATCAATGGTTAGTGATTTTTTGGGGGTTAATTAGGTCAATTTAGGATAATTAAACCAATATTGATGGACATCGCCGAAGAAACGCGATTTCGAAAAAAATCAGTAATTGCGCTCTAACGAAATTGAAGTTTGTCAGCGGCACCAAAGCGATGATTAGCGTCCGGCGGTGGCCGGCCGCGCATGCAGACACGCAACGCGTCCGAAAATCTTCGTTTTGGCGCCAAATAAACCGTTATTAGCAATTTTAAGACAATTGTAATAGTTTCAAAGCAAATTAACCGATTTTAGTCGCATTAGGCCATTTTCAGTTAATTCTAGCAATTTAATTCCAAAAATTTGAAAAAAAAAACACTTAGAAATCGCGCTCTAACGAAATTGAAGCTTGCGATTAGCGACCGCGCGCGCAGACACGCAACGCGTTTAAAAATCTACGTTTTGGCGCGCCAAATAGACTGTTTTCAGCCGTTTTTGAGCCAATTTTCGGGCATTTTAGAGCGAATTAACCGATTTTACTTAATTTTTGGTCATTTTTCATGATTTTCAAGCCATTTTAAATCAATTTTCGCGCATTTTAATGATTTTAAAGTTGATTTTAGTTTGAGCAATTTAATCAGAAAGTTTGAATAAAAATCAGAAAACGCGCTCTAACGAGCTCGAAGTTTTTAGTTTTGCGACCGCGCACGCACACACGCGACGCGTCTGAAAAACCTCGTTTCGGCGCAAAATAGACCATTTTCAGCCGTTTTTGAGCTCATTTTCGGGCATTTTTAAGCAAATTAACCGATTTAAGTCATATTTCATGATTTTAGAATCATTTTAGATCAATTTTGGGTCATTTTTAACGATTTTCAAGCCATTTTTAGTCAAGTTTGGGTCGTCGGCGCATTTTTAACGATTTTTAGTCCATTTTCATGCTGTTCTCATTTCCAGGAACCGCCCATTGTGCCGATATGTACGGTGCCTCTTCCCATGACAGCATCTACCTGACCAACGCTCGTCAGAAGATTTCCGACGTTTTGGATGGATGGCTTCATGCTTAGACTTCTTGTTTTTATCGTTTTTTTTAATTGAAAGAATCCTAATAAATTAATTTTTTAAATCCTAAAAAATCTGAAATTAGGGCTCAAAATTTCGAAATTTCATGAAAATTAGTGTTTCTAAGCACATTTATAGTCTAAAATTAACAAAAAAAAGTGGGAAAAATCAACAAGAAATCACAAAAAAGTCAATTTGTAAATCGTTTCGGCGGCAGGAGAATGCGATTTTTGAGCTCATCGATTTGCTCCAAGATTCGATCGTCGCCCGACCAGACCGCCTCCAAATCGTACTTTTCTCGACAGTCTTCGCTCATTACGTGGATCTGGAAATGAGAAATTTATAGGAATTTTGAAATTTTCAGATCTTTTAAGATGATTTTCAGGCAAAATTTTTAGTTGATTTTCAGCGTTTTTCGACCATTCTCAGTCAATTTTCCGAATTTTTGGCTCCTCGAAAAATTAGTCGGCTTTCAGCTTTTCTGGACCATTTTCAGACAATTTTCAGCCATTTTTAGACAATTTTTAAGAGTTTTTAGAATTTTCAGCCTTTTTGTGCTAATTTTCAGACAAATTTTTCCAAATTTTTAGCCAATTTTTTTCAAATTTTCAGTCCATTTTTTTCGAATTTCAACCGAATTTTTAAATTTTTTCAGTCGATTTTCAGCGTTTAAAAATCGATTTTCAACTAATTTTCAGGCGATTTACAGAGAATTTCAGGAAAATTTTTCTCGAATTCTCAGCCTAATTTCAGTCGATTTTCAACCATTTTCAGGACATTTTTTTGGAATTTTCAGCCAATTTATAGTCGATTTTTCGCCTGATTTTTAGTCAATTTTCGGACGATTTTTGCCTTTTTTTAAACGAATTTTCAGCGATTTTTTCAGAATTTTCAGACAAATTTTTCTGGAATTTCCAGTCATTTTTCTCGAATTTTTAGTCAATTTTTTTAATTTTCAGCCAATTTTTTTATTTTCGAATTTTCAGTCATTTTTAGCGAATCTAACGTTTTCTGGACCATTTTCAGTCGATTTTCAGACATTTTTATTTGGAATTTCCAGCTAATTTTCAGCCATTTTTTCTCGAATTCCAAACCAAATTTTTCGAATTTTTTAGCTGATTTTCAGCCTCATTTTGATCATTTTCAGCCGTTTTCGAATTTTCAGCGTCTTTAATTTTGTGGGGCTGATTTTCAGTCGATTTTTACAAAAATTTTCTGGAAATTTTTTCGATTTTTTCGGCAACTTTCATCAAAATTTCAGCCAATTTTTTCGAATTTTCCGTGAATTTCCAACTAATTTTTTTGGTGAATTTCAGTCAAAAATTTCCAAAATTTCCAACCAAAAAAGTTGCTCACCTGAACCCCCTCAATCTCACTGACATACCATCCTTTGCTTCGTTTCGTATTGCTTTTCACATTCGACGATCCGTACGATTGCTCATTTTCCATTTTCAGAATTTCCCGCAAATTTTCAGAAATCGCCGCCGCTTGTCGCGAATTGAACACCGAGCAGACGATCTGGAGGAGAGGAAAACGATGGTGGTGGCCTGTTAGTTGGATTTTTCTAGGCCATGTTCGGTGGCCTAGAAATTCTAAATTTGGATTTCTAGGCCACAAACTGAAAACTTTTCAACTAATTGAAAATTTCAAAAAAACTGGAAATGGCCTAGTTTTTTGGATTTCTAGGCCAAACAAAGGCAATTTTGATTTTTACGGCAATTGAAGGGCTGAGAAAATGTAGGATATTTTGAAATTTTCAAAGTGGCCTAGTTTTCTCAAAATTTGGATTTCTAGGCCACCACTCTCCCTGATGGCCTAGGAATCCTAAATTTTGGATTTCTAGGCCACGAACCGAAAATTTTCTTTTTCAACCATTTGAAAGCTATAAAATGGTCAGATTTCGAAACTTCAAAATGGTCTAGTGTCCGCAAAATTTGGATTTCTAGGCCATCATTTTTTGCTGGCCTAGAAACCTCTGAATTGGGATTTCTAGGCCACCAAACCTACCCTATGACTATACGGTGTCATTTCCTTATCATCTGATTTGACAACGAACACATCTCTGGCCTTCTGCTCGCCGAGTGCTCCAACAATCGTCTCCACAAAATCCACGTCATCTGATTCGGGTCTTCTGAATCTCTTCGTGACGTCTTCTTTTGGGGGCGGAGCTTCTTTTGGGATACCGTAATCCTCAAAATACTCCTCTTCGATGAATGTGGATAGACATCGACGTGGGAATTTGGGGAAAGAATTTCTAAAAATTCCAGAAAGCATTTTCTGAAAATTTCGGGTTATCTGAAAATACTGAAAAAGGGGCGGAGCTAAAAAATAATGAATTTTCGTTGGTTTCGACACATATTTCTATGGGAAAATTGGGATTTTTCAACAATTTTGTATTAAAATTCAGAATAAAAAATGATTGGGAAAAAATGAGATTGTTTGCGAGGGATAACAACAAAAAGAAATTCCAGAGAGAATTCCAGAAATTTCAGCAACAAAAATGAAGAAAAACAGAAAAAATCAACAAAAATGGAATTCAAAAGAGGGTATTATTCATTGGATCCAGTGTACTTGGTGTCTCGGGACTTCTTCTTGCGAACACGACGCTTCTCGATTTGCGCCGAGATCTGAGCAGCGGCTTCCGATTCGTCGGCAATTGGGATTTGAGTGTCGAATTCCTGGAAAAAAAAAGGAAACTTGGGTTTTTTGAATAATTCAAACTTAGCGATTTTTAATGGCCTAGAAACCCGAAACCCCGATTTTCTAGGCCACAAACTGAAGTCTTAATGTTCAACCATTTGAAACCTTTAAAATAAATTTAATAAAATTGTAAAATTTCGAAAATTCTAAAAGGCCTAGTTTCTAAAAAATCTGGATTTCTCGGCCATTATTTTTTTGCTGGCCTAGAAATCCATCATTTCGTGTTTTAGGCTACCGATGGCAATTTCCATAATGGTCATTTTTTTCCATTTTTCAAGCAATTTGAGAACTTAGAAATTGTAGAATCGCACGAAACCAAAATGACCTAGTTTTCTAGACCACCATTTTCCGATGGCAAAATCGTTTGGTTTCTATAAAAACTGGGTTTCTAGGCTATCATTTTTCGCTGGCCTAGAAACCTTGAATTTGGAATTCTAGGCCATCAAGTGAAAACTCGTTCAAGAGCCGTTTGAGAGCTATAAAGAGAGCTATAAAGTTAAAGATTTCAAAAGTTCAAAATAGCCTTGTTTTTTTTTCCAAAATTGGATTTCTAGGCCAAAGTTCTTTTTGCTGGCCTAGAAACCCAGAAATCGGTTTTCTAGGCCACCACTTTTTTGGCTGACCTAGAAACCCTGAAAACTGATTTTCTAGGCCACCAATCAAAATGGTCTTTTCCCGTCTATCTCTGTCACCTATGAACTGTAGAATTAAGAAAATTCAACATGGCCAAGTTTCTATAAAATCTAAATTTCTGGCCCATACTTTTTTCGCTGACCTAGAAACCTTGAGTTTGGATTTCTAGGCCACCGATGGCCATTTCCGTTTTAGAGGCAATATAAGGGGTTGGAAACTATAGGATTTAGAAATTTCAGAATAGCCTAGGTTTCTAGAAATTTGGGTTTCTCAACCAAATTTGCAGGAAACCCCCCAAAAACCGATTTTCTAGGCCACCAATCAGAATTTTTCATTTTTAACAATTAAACAAATTTAGAGACATATTCTTTTTTGGTTTTCTGAAGTTCCTCATTGTCATGGCCTAGTTTCAGGACTTCTAGGCCACGAAGAGCTTCCTCTTACCTTTCCAACCAAATCGACAGTTTTCTCAGCGAGAATCTCGCTAACTTTCGCCTGCTTCACGTTCGACGCCTTCACAGCCAACTGCTTCTCGATGTAGGCGTTCTGTCCCTTACGGTGCTCACGACGCATCACATTTGGCGAGATGTAGTTCGGGTTGTCGTAGAGAACGGCTCCTTCGAACGAGCCGGCGAACAAACGGACCATTTCCAGAACGAAACGGGGTCCTGGAAAGGGAACATTGAGTTTCTGGGGATTTCGGGACCATGTTTACTATTAAAATTGGTTTTTTTGGAGCTAAATCAGTCAGTTTTTTATTATTTCCAACAGATTTTTCCGGGATTTTCGGCCCATTTTTTACTAAAATGAGCAGTTTTCAGCGTCTCTACTCACCAACTTCCTGCAACTGCAGACTCTCATCGACGATCTGGAAGTTGCGGAACCAGATTTTGTCGCCCTCGCCGACGGAGAAGTTGAAGACGTGATCGACGAACGGTTGACTGCGTGGATGGTGGTGTGGCGTGCCGAGAGTCTGAAAATCCAATTTTAGGCGATTTAGGTAATTTAAACCATTTTTCTGGTCTAATCTCGGCCTAGATGCCCCAATAGAAGAATTTTGGGGTCGTTTTGGGCTATTTTAAGCTTTATTTCAGTCAGATTAAACGCTTTTTTCTCAACTTTCAGCCTAGATGGGACCAATTTAAGTATTTCGGGCTCATTTTCAGCTTCGTCGATTTTTTAGACCATTCTCACCTGCATAAGCACTGCCTTGATCAACTTCAACTGCGGTTTCTTATCAAAAGCATCGTCAAACGAGAGAATCGGTCGGGACGCCTTCAAACAGTTTCCAGACATCTTCAACTCCTTCATCGTATGCACATTGTGCACCAAGAACTTGATCGATGGACCCTTCTCGACATTCGACATCCACAAATACGTATCTTTTCGTTTCCGACTCTCGAAATACATCACTTTCGTGCAATTCTTCATTTCAGCGATCTCATTCAGGGCCTTTAGGGACTTTTGTTGATCCAGTTTCGAGTCTCCTTTGGCATGTGGAAGGAGATCTTTGATGTCTTTCATTAGGAATCGAGTACGGACGTCGGCACCACGGGAGCATAGGACTAGGACGCGTTCGCGATTCGTCCACAGCTCAGCGCGACGACCGGTCACTTCTGATTGTTCCGTGGTTGGGTGAGTGTCGTCGTCCTGGAAAAGAAGTGGAATTTTTAGATTTTTTTCGCTGGCCTAGGAATCTGAAAACTAATTTTCTAGGCCATCAATCAAATTAGGCTTCTGAAAGCTAACTAAGACAGTTTAAGAGCTCATGAATTTTCAGATTTTGCAAATTCAAAATGGCCTAGTTTGTTTATAAATTATTTTTTTACACCATTTTTTTTTCGCTGGCCTAGAAACCTGAAAACAAATTTTCTAGGCCACCATCAAAATTGTATTTTTCAGGCGGTCTTAGAGCTCGCGTCAAATAGCCTAGTTTCTATGGAAACTGGATTTCTCGGCCACCATTTGTTTGCTGGCCTACGAATCCTAAAATTGAATTTCTAGGCCACCAACCAAAACTTTATTTTTCAACTATTCGAAAGCTACAAAATTGTAACCTTTTTGAAAATTCAGAATGGCCGAGTTTCTCCAATAACTGGATTCCTAGCCCATCATTTTTCGCTGGTTTAGAAATCCTAAAATCGGATTTCTAGGTCATTTGACCACCTGAAAACTGTCGTATTCTGGAAATTCAAAACGACCAAATTTTCTTAAAATGTGGGATTTTTAGGCCATTCTTCTTGCTGGCCTAGAAACCTGAACACCAATTTTCTAGGCCACCATTCAAAACTTTTTTTAAAAGATCCTTTTAGATCTCATAACTTTTCGGATTTTGCGAACTCTAAATGGCCTAGTTTCTATGAAAATTAGATTTCTAGGCCATTATTTTTTTACCATTTTCCGGCTGGCCTAGAAATCTGAAAACCGATTTTCTAGACTACTACCAATCGAAAGCTTCTATTTTCAGGACATTTTGGTGGATTTTCAGCAATTTTAAGTTTACAAATCCTAGATTTTCAGATTCTCTTACCGACTCATCCGACGAATCATCACTGGAATCCTTGGCACCAGCCGCCTCCCACTCCATTTTTTCCTGAGCCGTCTCCTGCTCCTCCTGTTGAACCTTCTTGATCTTTGAGAACTTTCCCATGACTTTTTCTGCAAATTCTAGGGTATTTTAAGACAAAAAAGCAGCAAAAATAGGTATAAAACTGGCGAAAAGCAACCAGAGAATAGTTTTTTTTTTAAAATGGAAGAATGTTTTCCCGGAAATTTTTTTTCTCATAATTATGTCAGAAAAGAATAAATTAATAATAAATTAGACAGAGACTTTGGAGTGGTGGAAAAAAAAAGCAAAAAACCCATAGAAATTCTGAATTTCAAATAGAAAAGATGGAGCTGAAAGAACGGGAATTTAGGATCGTCTCGTGGTGGTGTAGGTGGTTGGGAATGGAACGACGAGCTGATTTGTCGACTGGACGAGACGGAGGTAGCCAGCGTTTGGAATCACGTTGTATCTGGAAGAAATGGAAGATTTAGAACCAATTTCAGTGGGAAAATTAGGGATTTTAGAGCCAATTTTTTCGGTTTTCGGGACGATTTTCAAGCTATTTTGACTCATTTTCCATCGATTTTCAACTAATTTTCAGGCTTATTTGAGTCGTTTATAGAATTTTAGAGCGATTTTTGGATCATTCTTTACCAAATTAAGCTCATTTTGGAGCCAGTTTCAAAGAAAAAAGTGTGAAAATTGAAATTCCAGCAATTTGGAGATAGAAAATTGACTTTTGGAGATTCTTTTAGGCGATTTTCAGAAGACATCTCAGCTACTTTAGCTCATTTTAACCAATTTTGAACTAATTTTTCAAGCAAATTTGGGTCGTATATAGAATTTTAGAGCGATTTTTGGCTCATTTTCCACCAATGTGAGAGCATTTTGGAGCCAAAGTCCCTAGAAAATGTTTGAAAATTAGATTTCCAGCGTTTGGTAATAGAAAATTAGGGTTTTTCGAGCTAAAACGTCGTTTTAGCCGATTTTAAAGCTATTTTGGCTCATTTTGACCGATTTTAAAATTTTTTTTCCAGCCTCATTTGGACAATTTTTAGGATTTTAAAGCGATTTTTAGCTCATTTTCTGCCAATTTCAAACCATTTTGAAGGCAAAGTCCCTAGAAAAAGACTGAAAATTGGATTTCCAGCGATTTTTGAGACAGTAAATTGAAATTTTCGAGCTCCTAAATCAATTTTTAACCATTTTTTTTAGCTATTTCGGCCGATTTTTCATTAATTTTTAACTATTTTAATGCGATTTTTAGCTGATTTTCTACTAATTAAAGAGCATTTTGGAACCAATTTCTCTTTAAAAAGTTTGAAAATTGGATTTCCAGCGATTTTTGAGACAGCAAATTAAAATTTTCGAGCTTCTAAATTGATTTTTAACCAATTTTCAACTATTTTTCCAGCCTTATCGGATCATTTTTTTATCGATTTTGAGCGGAATTTCAAGCTATTCTGGCTCATTTTCTACCGATTTTCAGCTAATATTCGAGCTTATTCTCACCTCAAAACGAACGTCACATTGTCGTGCTTCAACAAGTGCGCTCCGTCGTCCAAGAAGTAGTACTTGGTTTTAACACCAATCTCATCCATCACAACGCGTTCGGCACGCTCGACGATACGATCCCAGATTACCACTTGGTTCACGGCCTGGAAATGGAATTTTTGGGATAAAACTATGATTTTTAAGCTCAATTTGGCCTGAAATCCTGTTTCTCGACAGATTTCTGAGCTCAATTTGGCGGAATCTAGACAATTTCCGAGTCAAAAATCTCATTTTTTTGCTAATTTCTGACCAAATTTTCAATAAATTAAAGCAAATTTCTCACATTCTCAGCAGACTTGTACTCGGCGACCAAATAGACGAACAGCTGCTTGACATTCCAGTTGAACAGACGCGAGAAGTCGACTTTCAGGTTGAAGGCGAGCGTCGCCAAATCCGCTTGCTTATCGTCCGTAGCGTAGTCTCGCACGTTTCTTCTGTAACTTTTTTGGGTCAAAAAATCGTTATTTTCAGTAAAAAATAGTCGATTTTTAGAGTTTTTGAGCCAGAAAATTGCCATTTTCAGTGAAAAAAAAAAGTTAATTTTCAGGTTTTCAGAGTCGAAAATCGTCATTTTCGGTGGAAATTGGGTCACCTCTAGACAGATTTTTAGCCGAAAAATCGTAATTTTCAGTGGAAAATAGTCTATTCTGATGTTTTTTGAGCCAGAAAATCGTTGTTTTCACTAGAAATGGGCCCATTTCGAGGTTTTTTTTGAGTCAACATCTGTCATTTTCAGTAGAAAAGAGTTCATTTTTAGGTTTTTTGGGCCAGAAAATCGTAATTTTCAGTAGAAAAGAGTTCATTTTTAGGTTTTTTGGGCCAGAAAATTGTAATTTTCAGTTGGAAAGAGCTTATTCTAAAGGTTTTTGAGCCAGAAAATCGTTATTTTCGGTATTTCTTCGCGAGAATAACCAAAAATCGTTCTATGTGACTCACATCTTGATATCATTGACTTCGAGATGATTTGAAACGGTGTAGTCCAGGAAAACGGTCGACAAGAAGCACGCGGCGGTGACGGCGGCCATCACCCAGAGAGTGAACGCGAGAAGCGAATTGGCACGCGATAGCAGGTTGTGCATGTCTGAAAATGGCTGAAATATGTGAAAATAGCTGAAAATAGAGCTTAAAACGATAAAAAATGGTTCAAAACCATGAAAATTTCAATAAAAAATTATTTAAAAAGGCGAAAAATCTTCATTTATATCGTAGAAAAAATAAGTCTAAAAATGAAACAGGGAGACTTCTAAATCGAGATTTGGGCTTTCCAACTGTTCCAGACTCTAATGGGCGGTTTCGACGCTGGAGAGGAGATATGGAGCCGGATACTCCTCTGGTTTTCTCCAATTCAAAGCGATCGGATCGTCGGAACGAACGACGTCGTAGTAGCCACGATAGTACGGCTTCTCGCTTTCCGTCAAATACTTTTTCATTTTGTAGCCGCCGATGAGGAGGGTGGCGGTGCCGAACGTCGCGTAGAAGATTGTCTGTTCCGGATACTTTTTGAGCATTCGGTGTGGAAGAGTGCTCCAGTAGGCCCACAGACGGGCGCTACGCGATACGTGGTACTTGACGCTCATCACCCTGAAAATTGGGGAAAATTTGAGATAACTAGGTGAAAAATAGCAAAAAACAGAACATTTCGAATTATTGAGGAAAATGCATTTTTCTCAGTTTCTGCACAAATTTCATTGAAAACTATACATTTTTAGAAAAAATTGGCCATTTTCAACTATAAATCGAAGAAAATCGGTCGAAAGTAGCAAAAATCAACGAAATTCCAGCTCCACGTCTCCAAATATTTTTTCAGCGATTTTCAGTCAAATTTCTTTGCTTTTTTGACCAGAATTAATGTCAGCAAATTTCTGACGCTTTTCTTCTCAATTTTCAGCTAAAAATCCGCTTAGAAACCGTCAATTTCGCTAAGAAGACGTCACAAAAAAAACAAAAAATAAATGCGGCGAAAAACGAATAATGCGTCAGCGCGCGCGATTCGGGTCAGCAGGCAAAGGGGTTTTGGGGTTGGCGCACTTCTAGTTTTCGGTGGGAAGTTTGAATTTGGGGTTTTTGACACTGAAAATGATTAAAAGACAAATTTATTAAACTCTCTCATAAATCGTTGAAAATTCTCGATTATTATTCTTGTAAAAAGTGACAAAAAGAAGATAATTTTTGACAGAATACATAGTTTTTTCTTGGTTTTCCACTGTAGCCATCTCGCGATTTTCGAAAATAATTGTCTCTCCAGTTTTAAAAATTTGGATTTTCTGCTGAAATAGTTCTTTATCAACTGCGAATCTCTTGATATGAATTTCTTTGAAAATTTGAACTTTTGAAATTTCCAGATTTTCATATTTTCCAGCTCCATTACTAGTCACAGGCTTCCAGGCGCCGAAAATCGATAATTCTGGAATTTCTGCTTTTCTCTGCACTCTCTCATAGATTCTCGTGCATTCGATAGTCTCTCGTTGGTGTCCGATTTTCGAGAAAATGCCATTTAAAATGTGTATTTTCCGTTTTTGATAAATTTCGTCTCGTAGCTTTTAGTTTTCCTAGAATCTTGGAAATACTCAATTTTTGTAGTTTTCAAAGTGTCATTTTCGATGGTTCTATAGATTTTGATCCTTGGCAAAATCCTCTTTTCTTCTAGAAAGCTCTGCGATTCTTCGAAAACTTGATTTCCAATTTTTCGAGATTCCTGGATCTTTTTATTGGAAATTTTAAAGCTGACATTTGAGTGTTGGAATAGAATCTTCTGGAATTTTCCGGATGATTTTTGAGTTTCCAGAAATTTCGAAACGTTCGTTGTGGAGATTATTTCCCATTCTCCATTGATTTCATTGAGAATGGATTGGGCGTTCGGTGGAGCGCAGATGACCATTCTGAAAATTTTGAATTAGAATTTTTTAGAATTTCAGGTATATTAAAATTTCAGACGTTTTCTACAAGAATAAGTATATTTTTATTAATTTGTTGATTTTCAAAACAAACATGTCAAAAAGGCTTCAAAAAACTGAAAATTTTGTAACTATCAACTTTAAGCTCAATTATCTCAGTTCATGTCAGAGATATCAAAAAATGGTCAACTGATAAAATATTTATCAGATTATCACAAATATTTTATCAGTTGACAAAATTTTGATATCTTTCAAAGGAACCGAGATAATTGAACTCAAAGTGAACGGGTTGGGTGGGTTGCTATTAACGGAAATACGGTATATTTTTAGGCGATTAAATAGGTCAAATTATTTTTTAATTAGAAAATAAAGAAAATCGATAATTTCGAAACAAAAAACAACCAAATACCCCATAAATTGAATAAAACTGTCAATGTTTTCAAGATCCACAGTTCTAATAGACTTTTCCAAAAATCAATAAGACCCTTCACACCTGGACACACCGGTGAATCGTTTAAGATTTTTGGGAAAATTGATTTTTTATTGATTTTCAGAAAAAAAACACACAAAAACGTTTAAAATGTTAGGACTGTCTACTTTGAGCCCCTATATCTCGATTCATGAAAGAGATATCAAAAAGTGGTCAACTAACAAAATGTTTATCACATAATCACTGACATTTTATCAGTTGACTACTTTTTGATATCTCTCACGAGAACTCAGGCATAGGGGCTCAAATTTGACTTAGAGCCGTCGCTCAAGCCGCCGGGCCGGCAACTCTACATAGTGTTTAACTTTGAGCCAATTTATCTCCGTTCCTGTAAGAGATATAAAAAGATCGTTGACTAATAAAATGTTTATCATAATATCCCTAATATTTTATCAGTTTACCACTTTTTGATATCTTTCACAGGAACTGAGATAAATACGCTCAAAGTTGACAGCTTTGTAGAGCCCCAGGCAGCGGTGACCACCCGCAAACATAGCTTTTAACTTTGAGCTCATATATCTCGGTTACTGGGAAAGATACAAAAAAGTTGTCAATTGATAAAATGTTTATCATAATATCAGCAACATTTTAACAGTTAAACATTTTTTGATGGCTCTCACAGGAAATGAGATAAATGAGCTTAAAGTTGACAGGGATGTACAGCCGAAGTCGATTCAAAGTCGATTCCCAAACTGATTTCTCTCTAATGACACATAAACAAATGGTTCGTTTAAAAAATGAACAGAAGAAGAAAAAATGATATCCAGTGTTTTGTAATTCATCCACAGCTTTGGCATTTTTCCATTCACTCGAATTCGCTTTTCGAAATTATTGGGTCTTAACTTCATTGCCGTAATTAGGGTAAATCGGTCCAATGGTCCATTCCCATCAGCCAGCACAAACATGAAATACCTGGGTTTCGGTGTGAAAGTTTTGATAAAAATTAGAAGAGCCGATTTGTTGGAAATTACGAAAACTGGAGATTTCGGATGGGTCAGAAGCTGGTGGACATGCTCGCCGAGTTGCTTGGAGAGGGAAATGATGGATTCTGGAATAATTCTTAGATTTGGAATTCCAGGAAAATTCAGCACTCACCAAAATTTGTTTCAATCAGGCTTTCAACTTCATTTTCAATGTCTTTGGTTCCAAAATTTTTGCTTAATTCCACACATTTCTTATTCAACATTTTCAGCCAAGAGCCTGAGTCTAAAAATTGACTGGAATTTTCCAAAAAATCAAAACTGGATCCATGTTTTATCACTGCATGGAATAGGCCTAAATTTGATTTGAAGCACCAATTTTTGAATCGCAAGTTCTCAAATTGACAGTAATCTGACAAAATTGGATGAGCCAGATTTTTTTGGTTTTCTGAAAATAATTTTTTACAAAATTTCTTTGAAATCTGAAATTCAAGCCCACCATTATCTAAATAACGGTTCCAGCATTTTCTAGTGGTGTTTTCGATTAATTGATCTACAGTAGGTTTAAGATGAGCAATGGATTTCAAATCTTCTGATCCCGGGCATCCTTCCGGGACCATTTCTATGGCACCCGCCATTTTGATAGCTTTGGACCCATGTTGATGGGTCTCTTATCAGTCCCATTTCGGCTTGGGACTGATTTTGGGCTTTGCACTTTTTCAACAACAAAAATAGCATTAATTTTAAGGTCGTGGGGCCTGCAATATCCTTCATCCAGGTGGAATTTAGCTCTAAACTTACCGTATTCCTTATATAAAATCACATTTTCGAGACTTTGAGAATAGAAAAGAGACGCAGACATTCAGACAGTCAGCAAACATGACATAAAGATGCCAAAAATTGGCAAATTTGAAGTCTGCAGAATATTCAGAAGCTCATTTTTTTCAGCACAAAGTTTAACATAGAAATTTTTAAAGAAAAGAAAAAAATGTTGATATCCCACCTGTTTTATAATAGGTTGTGTAGTATTACGAAATTTTGAACAACATTTTGGAATTTTTAGAAAAAAGTCTGATTTATGTAGGTATAATTATCCTAACCGAATCTTAAAGCTGATTAAAAAAAACTAAATTTCAAAAATATTGAACAAGAATTGAATGAGATACGGTAGTATTTGTAAATAGGTGGTTATCAATCTTTTATCCATCTTAGCTCGGTTTCTATAAAAGGTATCAAAAAGTAGTCAACTGATAAAATATTTATCATATTATCAGAAACATTTTGTTAGTTGACAACTTTTTGATATCTCTCACAGGAACTGAGATATATAAGCTCAAAGTTGGTATGTGGCGTGTGGTGGCCGCCTCAAGCCGGCGGACCGGCGGCTGCTCTCTAGCCGGAGGCGGCTCTGAATGACTGTCAACTTCAATCTCTTATACCTCGCTTCATATGAGAGATATCAAAAAGTGAAACTGATAAAATGTTTATCATAATGTGATAAATATTTTGTTAATAGGCACTTTCTTGATATCTTGTATAGCAACCGAGATAAATTTCCTCAAAGTTGATAGTTAGAGATAAAGGAGGGAGGTCTAGTGGTTACGGTACGTAAAATCTTCTATGAAGTCATTATCTCAAATCATCATCTGTGCAAAATTACATCCTCAAAAAAGTTCCCGCGAATTTTGGACGACTACAATCGACTACAACCGCATAGCTCGGACGGTATCTTTTACCATGTCTCCAAAAAGCCGCTAATCGTACCTCATGTCAGAAGCCTATAATTGGCAGATTATCTAGGCCACCATCTGCAATAAATTATCATCAAAGGAAACACCTTAGTGTGGCCACGAGCCGTCTGGCAGACATCTGCCTCCATAGAGGACGCCGCCTTTTTCAATTGCACCTTCTCATTCTTCTATTCTGTCGTCATGGAAGGCGGTGGTGTCGATCGCTTTCCGCTCCTTCGTCTACCAGAAAATGTGAAAATGTTGACTGTCAAACACATGGATCTCCTTGATGCGTAAGTTTTTTCTTAAGACAAAAAATTGAGTGGTTGATATTGCTGAAAATAAGCTTCGAATGGCTTAGAACAGCTTAGAAATCGCCGAAGGAGGTTATCAACTTGAAGCCAATTTATCTCAGTTCCTATGCTAGATATTAAACAGTTTTTAATTGATAAAATACTGGTGGTATTATGATAAAAATTTTGTTAGTTTACCACTTTTTGATATCTTCTACAGTAGCCGAGATAAATGCGCTCAAAGTTGACAGCCATTTGAAGACGCCGCTCAAGCCTCTCTGTGCCACCTGCCCGACGGCTTGAGCGGCGACCAAAACTTGAAGCTCATGTACCTCCGTTTCTGTGAAAGATACCAAAAAGTGTTCAATTGATAAAACGTTTATCATAACACAAGCAATATTTCGTTAGTAGACCTTTTTTGGTATCTTCTACAGTAACCGAGATAAATGAGCTTAAAGTTGGCAGTCATTTAGAGTAGCCGCGCACCCTCAAGCCCAGCGGCTAAACGCCAACTTTGTATCTATGTATCTCGGTTTCTGTGAAAGATATCAGAAAGTGGTCAATTAACGAAATGTCACTGATACTATGATAAACATTTTATCAGTTGAACACTTTTTGATATCTCTCCTAGGAACTTAGATAAATTAGCTCCAAATACAGTATACTCTTTTTTCAGATTTCAATTCTCATTTTTGTCAAAACGAACCCTGCACCTATTCCAACAACGGATATGGAAAACAACCAGTTTGATAGTTCAAGTCTCCACATCGATATCATTAATGGGACAGTGTTGGGATGGCACAGCCTCGTTCATATATCAAATCAAATTCCGAGAATACGACGACAGAAAACATTTTCTGGATTCCAAAAACCTTAATCCCACCTGCCAAGTAACTGGTTACCATGCGTTGCTGGATGTTCGTCCATATTTCCAAATCAGACGACACGGATATGGGTTTCAGGACTATCTCAATCACTTTCTAATCCTTTCCGAAACCCCGAAAATCGAGAGATTGGTTTTTAAGGAAGAAGTACAAAATCTTGAAAGGTTCCGGAGCATAATGCCTACAATTCGTGAACTGGAAGTCTGCGATCAGTTCCCTGATAACTCGATTCAAGACCTTTTGAGACTGTTTGTTCCAGAAATTCTACAAATTCATAGAGAATATGCCAACATTGAAAACCACCTTGTGAATAATCTTGACAATATATTTGAATCGATTTTTAAAACTTTGGATCAGAGGAGCCAACCGGAGACTTGAGCATTTGGAACTTCGGATCATGAATTCCCCAAAACTGGAGAAGGGGCGCATTTGGAAGGGAATCAAGTATGATGGTGTGCCCGAGGACGTTCGAAGAGAGTTTCAATATGCATTGAATATGCGGACGACAACTTATGGCGGATTTGATATCAAAAGGAAGGATGGGACATTGGCGGTTATTCGTACTGATGAACATACACGCTTTGAAATGTTTGTAATTACTAAGAATAGTTAGCAAGATTTTCATTACTGTAAGATTTATATTATTTTGTCATGTTTCTCTCATTTTACTATCCCCCGTCTCTTTCCTTATTCCCATCTTATAAGCCTTTTTTAATCACATTTCTCAAATCATCAGCTTTGATCTTTCATGTGAGAGCTATCAAAAAGTGAATTAACAAAATGTTTATCATAACATCAGAAACATTTTATCAGTTGAAGACTTTTTGATATCTTCTACAGTAACCAAGATGTATACATAGGATCAAAGTTGGCAGCTGCGTGTGGTTGCTGCCGGAGGGCGCCGAGACGCACGCTTTGCATAGCTGTCAAACTTGAGCTCATTTATCTCGCTTACTGTAGAAGATATCAAAAAGTGGTGAACTTATAAAATGCAAAGCATCATATGGAGAGAATTTTGTCAGTTGAATAGTTTTTGATATCTTTGACAGAAGCTGAGATAAATTGGCTCAAACATGTTTTACGGTATAATCAACCTCAACGACTCTTGGTTTGGCTTCTCAGCCTTGATAGTTCCAATTTGAAGAATTTCCATCAATTCGGAATACATTGCATTCAATTCGAGAAAAATCCTTTGTATTCATTTTTCAAATTAATTTCAAAGGATCTTGCCTCCTTTTCTGGGCCACCAGATCTCTTAAAATCGCTATGTACAGGGTGGCTGAAAAGTATTGAGACACTTGTTATGATGGCTCTTGGCACCGTGCCAAGTCATATTTTCGAAAAGTTTCGTATTATTTCGAAAATAGGGAGCGTATATAAGCCGACATTAAAGCCATTTCCCATCACTTTATCTCTGGACCAAATTATGCGAGCTTCTCCTCATCGCCAAACCATTGCTATGCTGTTCAACGACGGCATCTCCACCGGTGACATCGCTCGAAGACTTCTTCTTCCGAGAGCAACTGTCTATCGAGTTGTGCAACAATTGAAAGATCGAGGACATGTGTTGGAGCTTAAGAAAAGCGGAAGACCTCGTACTGTCAACACTCGCCGGACTCGTGGCATCATCAAGAAGAGAATCACACGAAATGATGCGGTCAGCATGAACCAAATGGCTTCATCGCTCGGAATCTCAAGACAATCGGTTCAATCCATTGTGAAAAAGGACTTGGGTCTGAACAGTTATCGGCTCCTTCGTGGCCAATACCTCACAGAACAGTCCAAGAAGAATCGGCTCGAAAAAGCGAAAAAGTTGCTCGACGCACTCAAGGTGCGCCGCCTCTCTGAAATCATTTGGACTGATGAGAAAATTTTTACGGTTGAGCCGCTTCCGAACCGACAGAATGCTCGGCAATTGTTGTCAAAGGACGAAGCAAAGTCCCCAAAACGTCGTCTGGCCTACAAGAGACTTTTTCCAAAGTCAGTGATGGTGTGGGCTGGATTGACGTCGGAAGGTAAAGTCCCATTGGTTTTCATTGATAGAAATGTGAAAATCAACTCGGATGTGTACCAAAAGTTGGTGTTGATGGATGTTTTACGTCCGTGGGTCACTAGCCACTTTGGCCAGCAACCCTTCATTCTTCAACAAGATTGGGCCCCGTCCCATGGCTCGAAATCCACGAAAGCTGTTCTCGACGCTCATTTCCCTGGCTACTGGGGCAAGGACATGTGGCCCGCTTCCTCGCCCGATCTGAATCCACTCGACTTTTCCGTTTGGGGATATTTGGAGGAAAAGGTGATGGCTCGATCGCACCCAAATGTGGATTCACTGAAGGCCGCTTTGCTCAAAGCATGGGATGATCTTGACGATGACTACCTCCGGCGCACAGTCGCTTCTGTTCCAGCTCGTTTGAAGGCGTGCATCAAGGCCGAAGGCTCAAACTTCGAATATCTCCTCTGATATCTTTTCTATTACTATCATTTGTTGAAAAAATAAATCTGGTTCTTTTGTTGAAACTCCATTTTTGAAAATACAACAAAAAACAAGTGTCTCAATACTTTTCAGCCACCCTGTATGCTTCTAACTTCCAAAAACAGTTCAATTCACCATAACTTCATTCATCTAATTTTTCTGAATAAAACAATTATAAAACCGGGTCTAAACATAATTTCAAATAATAATAATCATAAGTCACAAAATTAATGATTACAATAGAGAGAAGAGATAGTCTATGATGAAAAAAAATCGATTGATATAAAGAGATATTCTGGAAGGCACATAAGATTATGAAGGAGATTCTCAGATTGGGATAATTAGGAGCTATTAACACAGAGGAGATAATTAAGATAATTAGGCCTGGGAAGTCGTGGTGAGGGCCAGTCGACGTTGTTCTTCCATTTGGTGGAGGTATCTGGAAAATGGATTTTAAGGATCGTAACTTCTTTCAGACTTAGTATTTTGAGACCAACTAAACTGGAAATGATAGAACTCGGATAGCACTACAAGAAGTTTTCTAATTAGAAAACTCCACCTTGTCTATGAACCAAGTTACATGCTTCAACTCACTTCAACGCTCTCTTCGCCGCCGTCGCCTTGGCTATCCGATAGTTCCGTCCCATGCCAGTGAACCTCATGTTGTTCCCAACGTCCACCGTAACCCGCACCTTTCCACTCTCCAGAATCCTCTCCATTTTACTGAATCTCGCCTTCGTTCCCTCCAGCTCCATGAGCTCTCGGATCGGCGATCGTGGCGGATTCGCACAGCACGTCTCGATGGTTCCTTTCATCAGATGATAGATAACTTGCCACGTGGTATCCAGATTTCGTCCTGAATCCAGGTAAATGGCTCCGGCGACTGATTCGAACACGTCTCCAAGAGCTTTGGGGACTTCGACGTCTTCTTCGTGGCCTTCGTCTATTTCTTCTTCAGTGGTCACCATGTACATCTGGAAATATAGTTTTATAGATAATGGGACTATTTTAAGGAGACCCATACCCCATACCCAATACCCCACACCTTATTGACCTATAGACCCATAGACCCATAGACCCATAGACCCATAGACCCATAGACCCATAGACCCATAGACCCATAGACTCATGGACCCATAGACCCATAGACTCATGGACCCATAGATCCATAAACCCATAGATCCAGGATCCCATAGATCCCATTTACCCATAGGCCCATATACCCAGATTCTATAGATCCAAGGACTCATAGACCCATAGATCCCATAAATGCCGTAGACCCATAGACCCATAGATTTCATAGATCCATAGATCCCATAGATCTAGGGACCCATAGATCCATAGATCGCATACCTACCTCCGTATTGAAATTCGTATCAAAACTACGATCACCACATAGCTTGACAAACTTCTCAATCATATGATGAAGTCCTGGACACATGGCAATGAAGTGCTGGAATTTTTTGACTGGAAATACTAGGGATTTGGCTTAAAATACCTTCTGAAACTCGAACTTCACAGCCAACGACGCGAAAATCGTGTTATTGACGAGTGCGGATCGGAGATCCGTCAACACGCCGGGACTATACTGACGGACGTCTTCGAACAAGTATCGAGTGATCATATAGTCTAGAACGGCGTCTCCAAGGAATTCGAGCCGCTGGTAGCATCCGGTGACACGATTGTTGATGTAGGAAGCGTGGGTGAAGGCCTGGACCAGGTAGGCACGATCCTTGAAGCGGTAGCTGGAAAATTAAGATATGGGCTATGGGTCAATGGGTCTATGGGGTCCATGGGGTCTTTGGAATCTATGCGGTCTATGGGGTCTATGGGGTATTGGGTATGGATTCCTGGATTCATGGGGTATCGGTCGCTTTGTTGATGGTATGGGGTATGGCTCTATGGTACTATGGTACTATGACACTATGGGGTCCATGGATCTATGGGATTCATGAGATCTATGGTTTTATGGATCCATGGATATAGAGATATATAGATCTATGGATCTATAGAATTATGGAGGTCTATGTGTCTAGGTATCTATGTGGTATGGATTCTATGGGTCTATGGGCCCATAAGATTTGTGGGACCTATGGGGTCAGTGGTGGTAGTTGGGATTTATGGTTTTCATGGTTATATGGTTCTATGGAACTATGGCATGATCGCACTATAGTTCTACGGTTCTATGGATCTATGGATTTAAGAATGCATAGATCCATGTTATGAGGTACATGGTATCGGGTATAGGGTACGGATCAATGGGTCCATAGATCTATGGATTTAAGGGTATATGGATCTATGGGATCTATGGGTCAATGTGATATATAGGATCTATGGTACTATGGACCCATGGATCTATGGGCCCATGGATCGATGAATTATGGGGTCCCCAACCTACCCAATTTTCTCCTCCAACTGCGCAAACTGGAATTGTTGCCATAAATTGTCAAGCGCCTTCGTCGACGCGTCCGGATTGATCGGTGTGTCGATGAAACGGAGCAGTGGCGGCTGAACGTCAGTCGCCTGATCCTTCTGGATCACTTTCAGTCCCATCCAGTTCATGACCTAGGAAAGGAGGGCAATTAAGAAAAGGAGGTTGAATTTGGGTTTAAAAAGTAGAAATCTGAAGGAATTGGATGGATTTGGGCAAAAAAATCTCGAATTTCAGCTCAAATCTCTCACCTTCAACGTCGGATTTGGGCCTAGTGTCAACAAGTGAACCCCAATCAACGCCTCCATAGCATCGGCAATCGCCTTATCGGAAATATTCTGTTGGGTCAGCAGGTTATACGGTAGTGGGGTGATGTCCTCGTTGAGAATTCGGGTTTGCTGAAATTGCTGGGGGCGGGGCTTAGTGGTCACGGTAGTTCTAGGATACCTTCTGAAACGTAATTGTCTCTATGCCATCGACCGTCTTCTTGGCCTCGTCTTGTCCTAGATCCCAGCCAGTCTTGTTTTCTGGCTTCTCCTCGATCGTCTGTCCACTCAAAATTCGCTCCATCTCCTTGTCCTTCTCCTCGGCGTCACTGGTGTTCGGTGCTTTGAAGTCGCAAGTTGGCACGTAGCTGGAAGATAAGAATTTGAGGTATAGCTAGCTTAAGACAAGCTTTATGGCTCTAGGGACTAGGGTCTACGAGTATGGGATCTAGGGTATAACTTATAAGGTATAAGGTATAAGGTATGAGGTATAACGTCCAGGGTCTGTGGGTCTATAGCCAGCTCTATAGTTCTCTAGCTCTAGCTCTACATGTCTAGCTTCATATCTATGTGGGTCTAGAGTCTAAGCCATAGACTGTCTATGGGTCTAGGGTATAACGTATAACGTTTAAGGTCTATGGATCTATGTCTAGCTCCATATGATCTTACCACGGTGGCAGCCACGAATCATGTGCATCAAACTTGTTGGCTACAATCAGCTGTGGGATGCCTAACTTCTTGCCGAGACGATACAAATTGCAGTTGGACACTTCCTTGCTCCGCGCCCACGACAATTTTCCCTCGTGTTGCTCTTGAAGCGTGTGGTAGAGATAGTCGGTGGTGGCGAACTTCAGGAACGAGTCTCCGATCGTTTCGAAGCGTTCCAGGGACATTCCGTCCGAAGCATTCGACGTCGTCAACGCGGTCAACAGCAGACACGGCGACACTCCCATCCCAACGTCTTCATCTGTATGCGACACTATCTCCTTCTCCCTCTCCTTCAACAATCTTCCATGCATCGTCTGACTCTCCTTCTCAAATGAGAATGGTCGAGGTGGAACATCCATCGCCGCCGTTGGAAGCACTTGACACGTAGACCGATCCGATGCGTCGGTTTTGACAGTGGTATCGTCTAGGTCCTGCTTCCTTTGAGCTCCTAGATTGAGCTCCTCAATCTCATCATCCATGGTACGGGGGAAATCGAGAGCCTCATCTTCTTCTTCCTCCACCGCATCCTTCTCCGCAAACTCATCCAAATCCACAGTCTCCTCAATTCTCCGTGGCTTCTCTCGCTCCTCAGACATCTCCATTGCTTCTAACCGCTCTTTTGCCTTCTCCAGAAGTTCCTCCTGAATCTTTTTCAGCTTCTTCTCCTCTTCAGTCAATGCGGATTCTGGTAGTGGAGCTGCTGCTGGTGCTGGCGTCTCTGTCATCGGAGCCAACGACGCTCCAGGAGCTCCTGGCGGTCCGACCGGATCGAATACTCGGCCAACGTCGGCCATGAGGGCTTGCATGTTGAGACCGCCAGTGGTGCCGCCAATTATTTGCTGGAATTTCATATTTTGAGAATTTACAGAATTCTAAATTTTGAGAGTTTTATATGACTTACGAAAGGCAGCTCATTGTCGTCTGGACCGCCTGAACCTGGCCCATCATCATCTCCCCAACCAGTTGGCACAATCTCCACAACGTCTTCCCATTGTGGATTGCTCAGTCCTTTATTGTTCGCAGCGGTTAGACGAGCCGTGTAGTCGTGCATCACAAATGGAAGATCATCATCCTCATCAGACATCTCACCGTCGTGGAGGCCTTGCGTCAATCCAATCGTCTCCTGATCCTCCTCGGCTCTCATCGTACTCGTCATATCCACTCCAATCTTCACAGCCTCCTCTGGATCCCACACCCCAATCGTAAAGGCAAACTCTTCTTCCTTATCCTCCACCTTCTTCTTCCCCTTCTTCTCCTCCGGCCCCTTCTCATTCTCCTCCAACGCCTTCTGATTCAAATCCCTCAGTTGTTGTATCCGCTTCACAATTATCGATTGCTTCTCCTCGTAGGCCGTCGGATAGGCCAACGAACTCCATTCTAGCGAATTCTGAAGTCGTGACGTCTGAATCCCAAATGCCTTCTGGAGGATGATTTCTCGCAGCTCGTCGGATAGCAAAAGTTGATTCAATCGATAAAAGATACTCGGAAGCGCTGAGATCACATTCCAAAGAGTCGCGGATATCGGATGGACATCCATTAGCTCAGGAACGAGAATCTGTCGTTGAGAAGAGTGATGTCCTCCAGATGCTTGGGATTCTCGCGATTCAGATGGTGTTACTGGGTTGGAGGTCGTTGAAGAGGCACTGTTCGATCGGGCACGGCGGGGTTGCGGTTGCGAACGTGGAAGTAGGAGGTTCAGGCGGCTGGAAATAAGTTATACAGTAGCAAGGGGCGGGGCTCAATATTTTCGGACAACTGGATAGGCTACGGTAGATCTTGACGAGCGCTACAAAATGCAACCAATCAGGAAGCTGTATCTCGTCTATGAACAAAGTTATAAACCAAAAATCGATTGAGCTATGCGATGATAGGTTTATATGGCTTGTGTCATTCCCAGTTGAAAATTTTAAATTTTGATAATTGATTGATGAATTTGAACTTTGGACGTTGAGAGC